ATCAAAACACTAAAACACATAACCCAACAGTGTGACCTTCCTTTTTTTTCTTCTATTTTCTCTCTCTCTAAAAAATTTAATCCATCAGTAAAAATATGTTTATATCTTCAGTAAGTTGTAAGATTTCATCCAATATTCTACAGTTTATGATAGTGTTTAACACGTTAACTGTTTGGCATCATCTATGGCAAGTGCTAATAAGAGTTTTATTGCAATATTATTGTGTTTTTAATTTAAATAATAGCAATAACAAATCTAAAATATGTAATCTTTACATTTTTTTATTTACAATGCATGTGTGTTGAAAGAACACTCTAACAAATACTAAACACACACACATGTGCATCCTCAACAGTGAACGTGTTAAGTAAAGAATTTAGGTTATACATTATGAATGATCTCCAACTGTTTAAAAAATTAACTTTCATGATTCAACTCTTTTAATACAGAGGAGTTTTTATAGGGTAATTTATTTGGTTATTTCTATTCCATTGAAAATACAACTCAGGAATAACTACTAAATCTGCACTTTGTGTTTACCTGCCAGTAAGAAACACCATCCACTTCACTAGTAAATCTATCATCTCTACGGTAACCTATGAAAAACACACCAAAAAAAAGAAATATTAATAGTAGTTTAAACATAATTTATTTGTTTAAATTATTTATATCTGGAAAATATTAATAAAAAATAAACTTAACTGCTAAAATAAATCTTAATGTACAATTTGTACATTCTCATTATGCAGGTATATTGAGTCCTTATATGTATTATCATTTATATTATGTACAATCATAACTTTTCTGAGAGAGGTTTTCAAAGATACTTTCATTATATTTCTAAATTTAACTAAGTAAAAAAGTCAAATTTTAAAAATTCTTCATATATTTAACAAATTATTATTGAATGTCATAATTTGTTCTCTTCTTATTAGTTATCTGAAATCTGACAAACATTTTTGTTTACAAAATAATGAGTTGGTTTTAAAAGTATCATCAAATGTAACAAAAAATTTAAATATACAAGAACATATTTTAACTGGTATGACTTTGTTTTCCTCTTTTTTTGAAAGGTTCCCTACTCCAAAAGATGACATTTTGTTTGCATCAAAAACACAAACTGAGGGATTAAAAAACTGACTATAGCATTTAAAGAAATCTGCTAAATTTACATTTTGTAGATAAGAGCAACTAATTACAGATACTTGAACAAAGTCGTCATGGAGCAAAACTCTGACCTAACAAAGCTTAAGAGTAATCAAGAAAGGCATGCTTTTAAGTTAGCATAACACATTTTCAAACAGGTGAAGTTCCCAATAAAAAAAAAACAAAGTATATGAGACTTGTTTAATAATAACAGCTATATGTACAAGAAGTGTTAATGTTACACAAGACTTCCTGTGTTCTTAAAAGGTGACATCACACAAAAAAGTGTGATAACTACTGATGCTAGTTTAACAAGATAAGCAGCACACATTTTAATTCCAAAAGTTGGACACAGTACGTGTTACATATATATATATTTTTTTCACTCCTATTTGTTTTGCATAAAACCTTAAAGGGGCAGTATTAAAACTCAGGACTATTAAACAAAAACAAAAAGTTGGAAATTTAGTTTAAGTAGTACAAAGTTTAACAACTAAACCACATTCCGTTAAACAACATTATGAAGTCTTTCCTTGTTCTTGTTAAGATTGATTCTGTTGTTAACTTATGTTTCCAAATGTTCAAGCTCATATTTCTCACTTTGGTGAACTCATTCTACATGTAAACACATAGTACTTGTGACATTCCATTCAAGAAATATACTTATTTGAGAATACATTCTAGAAACTTAAAATCTTGTCTCCATTATAGTTGAATTTTTGTTTGCATTGAATATATATATTTATAAAATATTAAAAAAAACTCCATTCAAAAACTTCATATATAAATATGTACATATATTAGGGGTGCATATCTCATAATATTAGTCAATATGATACGTATCTAGATATTGATGCCACGATACACTATGTATCTAAATACAGAAGTTTTACCAATGTTTTGTTACAAAGTTTGACAGTCTTGTCTGTAATTTATTATCTATATTACTAACATTGTCTTATTTTAATACTTCCCACTTTACAGTGCTTTTTTCAAATTCTCAGGTTTGATCAACTAAATGACAGCTGGCAAGTAAAATAAAAAAAAGGTTAATATCTGTCTATTTATTTTGTAATGTTTTTGATAAAAGAAATGAAGACAACATGTAGAACTCATTACTCATCTTCCATTATTGAATCATAAATTTTTAGTAAAAAATACTTTATTAGAAACTCTGATTTTTTCTGTACAAAAGATTTATAATGCTTACTGAAAGTTGTCAAATTTCGTGAAGATACATAAATCATATTGCATCGTATCAGATGATGTATCGATACAATTGTATCAAAGCTTCACGATACGACACTCATATCATACCTATGTATTGCCACACCTTTAATATATATATATATATATATATACACACACAGTACACTGATTCTTTTGTAAAACAATACTGTGTAGGCAGTCCTTGTCTCACTACCAAAGTATCAAGGATAATGACACTCTTTAAGCATGTTAGTAACTACTCTACTTTAATCTGTAATTCCAATATTTCCATTCTCAAAAACTTAATGGAAGCTCTACTCAGAATAAAACAAACTAACATGCATTTAATCCTTCCCTTTGAAAATTATTACACAAAGGACATAGTAAAGCTCAACAAATACAATGTATTGATCTTAATTCCAATAATATACATCATGACAGCATGATAGGATCTTATGGCTAGAAATTAAAATTCACCTTGCCAGTCCAAATCACTGTCAGAGCCCCCTCGGAAGTCATCATCAGATTCAGCTCTGGCCTGCTTTATTGCTGGTCGTGGTGGGGGGTTGTTGGGCAAGGGAGGAGGTATTGTGGAAGGCAACATTGGAGTATCTAGAGAGCAAGTATAAAAATGGGTAAAATGCAGCTATGTTTAATGCACAAAGATAGTAAACCCAAACAATAGAATGGAAGTACAACAGACTGCCATTCTATACAATATGAAGAACATGTTTTGATATTCTTGGACACTTTTTATTTTTTAGTTAATGTTTTGTTACTAATTTCGTTGTAAAATATTTGTTCTTATTTAACTCAATTTTACTTTCTCTAAAATTACTTAGTCATATATTTTCTTCTACTCAATCTAGTCAAAATCTTACAATCATTTTAAAAATGTATAACCAAAGAGACAATGACTCATAATAATAATAATTTTCCCACTATCATACTCAGTACTGTTGCTATTTGTACAAAGTTCCCATCCAAGCACAAGAAGCACACTGATTGCAATGAAAGAACTGTTCAGGGCTGGTATTTCATGATTTCAACATTTGTGGAAAACGTAACAGAATACACAAAATATCAGCCATAATCCAAGTATGCAAAATACTTATAGGGCTGTTTACAAATGTTGGGACTAAATATTTCTTAAGAAGGTGATACTTGAAAATCTCAAAGATGAATATTTATAAATGTATATTCTACACAGTTAATTCTGAAATAAACCTACAACTTACAAACATCTGAATTTATTAGGCAATAGTATTTAATGTTTTCAGTGATTAGATAAACCAAGTTAACATATAAAAAACATATACAAAATACATAAGTTTGATAAATACATAATTAAATTTTTCTGTCCACTCTGTCTTTCTAATTTTGATTTGAATTGTAAAGTCATTACAAATTATGCAATCTTTGAATTGATTCTTTTAACTCTTTAAACCCGAGTTGATGCTGCCAGCATCTGGTTGAAAATTCTGATTCACCCATCAGATGGTGACAGCATCTGATAACATTTATGTCTCTTTGGCTGAAAACTAATCCAAACCATGTTATTATTCACCTTTTATGAATATATCAGAAATTTTATAAGGTATGGTGATAATTATTAGTACATCATGAACATAATTCTGGCACAATGAGCAAAAACTATGGGTTTAAATAGTTAATAACTGATATTATGTGAAGGTTAAAACTTTTTTGAGCCTATGTAGTATCATTAATTAACTTGGAAATAATCTCACTTTTTAATCAAATACTAGTGCTGCAGTTTACTGCTTTAGCTACAACTACACATTATTTGTTACCACTACTAATGTTTAAACTTAACAAAATACCATTAGTACTGTAACTATCTTGGTTTCCCAAAACAGAGAGGTTAGCTTCTCCTGATGATGATACTATTCCATTCTGACCTTGGTGATGTGAGTGTCCACTGACAGCAAATGTTGTGAAGGATGGTGATGACTGGTCTTGGATTTGTGAAACTGGAAATTATTCCAAGTTAATTTTATGAAATAAAAACAACAACTCAAACTAATGATAATGATTTTTTTAAAAACAAATCTTCCATTCTCAAGTGAAATTGTAACAAACAAATGTGAGGTCTGATTAAAAATTAAACAGTTTTTACATTTATAGTTGAATCTATAAACTTTACAACATAAATTAATTTTGCTTGATTTTCTCTCTAGTAGCACAAATAATCACTTAAATCAAGGTACTTGCAAAAAAAAAACTGTTTACCATTAGAATATTCTGCATGTTCTTGGAATATCTGGATACGACTTTTAACAGAGATTTTTTCATCAGGGCCATATAGCTGTGGAGGTTCTGAAACTGGCCTTGATGTTGTTGTTCGAGGTGGTACAGGAGGTTTAACTTTTTCTCTTTTCTGAACTGCATCACCATATGGAGGGGGAACTGTCAGTTGTTTATTCTGAAGTTCAGGTTGACTCACAGTATTACGAATCACACGTTGATGTTGTTCAGGAGTTGATTCTGGGCTAGATGGATACTGTTGGGTGTATGAACTGTTATCTGACTTTTGTGAAAGTAAAGGACTTCCATCTTCAAGGTTTTTTTGATCCACAGCTGAGGAAAGGTTGGAATTCTTGTAAGTTTCATAGCTCATCAGCTGCATACTTGGTGGAAGAGATGCATGAAATGATAACTTTTCTAGCCAATCATGCATTTCGTTCTCCATATGTGCCATGAAAAGATATTCTGAACCATCAGACAGTTGAAGTCTGAATACATGTTTTTTCTTTGTATAATCAGTAGCCTTAGAACACTTAGCATGTGCTACTACTAGTGGTGGAGATGAGGCATTGTTCTCAATGAAGGCATCTTTACCTTTGAAAAAGCAGAGAAGCTGGCCACAAAGAACAGTATAGTAGGTCTTCCAAGAGCGTATAGTGGCTCTCTTTCCACCACTTTGTAACTCTTGTTTTCTTTCTAAAAACCCTTCCATTTCCACTGGAAGCAAGTCATCTACCCTACGCTGCTGACGGAAACTGGGTGTTCTTCTTCTGGTGTTGAAACTTGGTGTTCGCTTGGCTTTCTTCTGCCTTTCATCTAATTTCACACTTTCTGATCGTTTCAAAGGAGAAAACGTATCAGGTCTTTTTGGTGTTAGACATTCAACCCTCATGCTTTCCACTCGTTTCACTGGACTGGCCTTATCTCCATCTAATGATCGTTGACTGGCTGGTCGGTAGAGTGCTCCAGACATACGTATTTCTGGCATTCGAGGAGATGAGCCAAATGGAGGCAACTGATCTTGTGCTTCATTTTCTGTGTCATAATCCTCATTTTGTCGCTTGAAAACAATTTCTTGGGTCCTTCGCCTTTCATCTTCCTTTCTTCGTTCCTGTAGAATTTTCAGAATTAGTCATAATATTGTATTGTTGAGTACTAAAATGGATTAAGCATATGATTTAGAGCAGAACAAAATTTTGTTAAAGAGTTCAACAGAAGATTATATCTGAGCAACAATATAACAAGCAACATTCTGTAAGGTGATTAAAAACTATTTACAGAATACTTTTGCTATAACTGAATCAAATAACCATAGAGTAATTTCACAAATGGGGATAGACGAGTCAGTAAAACAATAACTGACTCAAAACAAAGTCCTTAAAATACATAACTGGATGTTTTTAAGCACCAGCATCACAGTGAAGAATCTCATTAAGTACACACACTTATGAATATATTTAAACATTTCTCGCCTTTATGTGAACTATTCAAATGTACTAATATATTTCTTACATCTGTACCAAAAAAAAATTATATTAGATTTCTGTTATTACTATTTACTAGACTTTTTTTATCCTTGGGAGCTAATGTTTTAAATACACATGTATAAAAAACATCCACAAAGACCGGTAATTCTGTCTTCAAAGTGTAACCAAAAGGTGATTCACCAGATTTTCTGGATGCTTACATCAAGAATTCTTTTTTGTTCCTTTCGTTTCATAGCATCTACTCTTTCTTGTTCTCGTCTCTGGGCTTCTTCCTTCTTGTACACTTCTTCTTCCTGCTGTTGTTTATGGAATGCTTCTTCCAGCTAATAAAGTTAATCCAATTTTTATACAATAAAAATATCTCTGAACAGTTGCAGTTAAGTTATTTTCTTCAAAGTAAATAAAACACAATGATATATTTACTCTTACGCAAAATTTAAATCACTATAACTTACCTAACTGGGATATATCCATTATTAAGTCAACTGGCAGTTCTAAGAACAACTGTTATACCTTTCTTAATATATGTTGCAAAATGTAGTTGCATTTGTTCAGTTCTTTTGAAATTATACAGTATAATGTCAATGTGATATATCAGGAGCACAAATGATTCAATAAAAAGGGGGACAGTGTATCATCTGCACCAGAAATAGCATATTACTGATTTTTTTATTATTAGGATTGAAATTAATTCTAATCAAGTACTTACCTCTGAAACACTGGTTGTCTTTAACTATGTAACTCAAAGTTCTGAAAGTTCTTGATGCAATGCAGAGTATATGTCAAATTACCCAGAATTCTTAACTTTTCCACTTTTCACATGACATATTACACATGCATAAGGAGATCTTACATAAACTCTGTTTTCCTGCCATAATTCATGTGTCTCAGTTGCAGTGTGATGTAAAACTACATATTGCCCAGTAATAAGGAGGTGGGTGGGTGGGAATGTACTTCAGAGGTAAATACCTGCTTGAAGTTCATTTTAATGCAACAAATATAAAAACCTATATCAGGTAGACTTACCTCTGAAGTACTGAGGGCTAGAATATCCAAACTGAAAAGGAGTAGGGAACCGGTGTGAGTTAAGATTAGGTAAAAAAATAAAGGTTATTAAGTAGAAAGGTAAGAAACCAAGACCACTAAAGATGCAGTCAAGCAGAGTCAAAGTAGAATCCACAAAAGGTATATTTAAAGAACTGAATTCAACAGAGAAGGAGTAGAGAGGACCATATTATATAAAGAATGGACCAACCAGGATGGGGAATATCTACATTTTGTTTTTCTATTTATTTTGTTGTTCCTATTTCATTGTCTTTAAGTTGGTGAACCCCATTCTTTGGCCAGTTTCATTTCTCACTGTTTGGATATGGTTAAAGCCTCAAGAGTATGTCCGTTACTATCCTGAGAATTTGCACTACAGGAGTGAGACATAATATTTCTCCTACATGTTTATGCCACCACCTGCATTCCCATTATTGACCCCACAGGTAATCACATTACTACCCTATCTGACCCTGTTTTTGTATGAACTAAAGTGTGTCGAGGGCAAAGAGGTACCCTACTGAGAAGAATGCTTTCCTTCTGTTTGTCTTTATAAGATATAAGATATAAGAGTCTTGCCTTAGATATCTCTCATGTCACAGAAGGACTTTGCAAAGACAGGGGAAAGGTACCTGCCTAGGCATTATCGGCTACTAGATGATATCCTCTGTCCATTTCTAGAGGGCATTACCCTTTCATGGAGTAACAATACAGAAGGTGGAATTGTGTCTGGGATAAACGTAGAGATTTAATAACATGCAATAATTCTGGTTGGAAAAATTTGTATATATGTATATACAGAAACTTCTAAGAGAAGGAGAGACTGTAAATTATGCATACGTGATAAGGACAAATATAGGGTAGGTAAGAACTTGTTAAAATCCTAGTTGTAATACATTGTATAAACATAGTATCTCCTATGAAAATAGATACTATTTTTTTTAATCAAATGGTTCATTGACCCAACACACCAGTGTAACTGTTAACATGGGTGTTGGCTCAAACAGTAAATAAACATTTAATAGAGAATAACTCACATGTTATGACCTCAAATGGGCGTGGAGAAATAAAGACTGAAAAATCAAGTTCTTCCCCAATTGTTGATATATGCCACCAATATAGGATTTACATGAACTAAAACACAGTTGTGGTATACAAAGGGCAGAAGCTCTTGAAAAGCATACTGAACTACCTAAAGATCCAAAAGATTATGTTCCCTCCAAGATAGTACCCCAGCTCTTAAGAGAAGGATCTGTAAAGAGGTGCAGATCTGTATGAGGTAGAAAAAAGAGGGAACCTAGAGTATTAAACTCTTGATTGAGCTAAAATTGAAGGTAATCAAGAATGCCAGGAAATTCACTGAGATATTAAGTCTGGATATAGATGTAACTGAGAAGTGATATTACACTGGAGGTTTCAATTGGCTTTGTGAAGTGAAGCTATCATCCCCAAACCAGATAGGATGTCTTTGGCAGTATGTATGGAAGACATAAGAGTATGAACCCAAAACTCCAAGGCTTACAACATCATATATAATTGTTGAAGAGTAAGAGCTGCAGCTAAGAAAAGAGCAAGGTTTAAAATCTGTCTAATGAAATTAGGAGAATGACAGCTGCTGATAAATGATAATTACTCTGAAAATGAAAGTCTCAACATGAGACAAATCATAACAAGTAGGGCAAAAAACTGACAACTGATCAAACTAGAAGGCCCCTCTCCCACCCGAAATTATATTGAACTGATGGCGAGAAATTTGAGAAGTAAGGTGAGTAGAAAAAGATGCTCCCACTAAAAAGTTATTAACTTTTATTTCATTTCTAAAAATGTCAGCAATTATCCAAAAATTATCTAAGATGACATATGCACCATTAGACCTAAGAGAAATTAAAATTAGTTCAAGGTTTAAAACAGAACATACCTGAGAGAGGAAAAAAAAAGATAGAAATTACATCAGAAAATTTTTTTCAGAAACAGAACTAGCTAACAAATTCTACTCTGCAAAAATTGAACATGAGGAAAAAGGCGAGTATTCTGTAAATGAGCATCCACAGAAATGTGAAACCCATCAAGTTTACCAGCAGATAATAAGCTTGAACAACTGAATATGATGATCAATAAAAATTGAAAATGTTGCCACAGGATTTCCCTGCATACTAGAGATAGACTACATGAATTAAAGGAATTATAGAAATTCCAATATAGGTAGAAACATTTCCTGCAGTAGTTAATGCTTAAATCAGAATTCACAGTGAGTGAAGTTATCAGCATGACTGTCAACAAGAAAATCTGGCTTGCAAAGGGAAAGCAAAACTTATGTAAGTTTACATGACACATGCATATTAAATTTCATGGAAGGTGGGAAAGTGGAGAATTATAAATAAATTGATGTATGCTTTGTACTGTGTCAAGGAAATCCTGAACTTTGAATCACACAATTGTCAAAAGTATGAAAGCAACTCAGTATTTCAGAGGAAAATCCACCTGATTTAAAAAAGTGATTTTTATTGTTACTGTTTATGTTGAGAGATAAGATGTTACTGAGGAGAGTGCTTATGTTGTTGTTACTGGCTGTCTATATAGGAAGAAACTTGCTATTAGAGAGAATAATGGTAGTTTGTTATAGCTTATACAAGAAGAAACATTTTTATCAAAGAAAGTGCTGGTTTTATTGTCACAATCTACACAAACAAGTGATGCAAAAGAAATGCAGAGTGTATTATTTCAATATCATGAACAATACTAGTTGAATATCCAATATTTTAGTCATCAATATTATGGGAAAATTTCAAATATTTTTGCTGTTTAAATGACTCAAAAATAAGGATAATAGTGATATGATCAAATGTTACTGATTTCTACTTAACCATGCAGAGGATTGAACCTGCACTGTGACTAAGTTAATAATTTTATGGTACTTAGAAAGCACTTTTTAATTTTTAACCTAACTGTTTGCTTCACTGGAGGCCTAGCTTATAATTGAGAATTATTTAAATATGTGTCTGTATATGTGTATACATTGCACACAAAAAATAGTATATTATTTTATTCCATTCTTTATATACAGTAGTCAACATTTGCAGGAGAGCATGTTTGTTTTGCATTTATGTCAAACAACTGCCACAATGGTATGTATAGATTGAACATTTTAGGAAGAAAACACCTGGATAAGTCATTTTTACACTTTATTAGATTCTGTAACATTTAACTTGGATAATAGAGCCTGAGAAACTGATGCACCCTGTGGTACAGTGTTAACAAGAAAAATTTAAAAATCAACAGTCATTGAAAGAAATATCCAATTCACAGTTAAGATGATTTCAGTAGTCTGTGTGACCACCTCAAGCATTAATGACTGCTGCACAATGTCTGTGCATGCTTATGATCAGATTAGCCAAACGTTATTGTGAAATCTGTTGCCATTCTTTAATAAGGGCAGCTTCCAGGTCCTGGAGCATTCTTGGTGAGGCTTGACGAGCTTGTAGATTTGTCTGTAGCTGCTCCCAGATGTGTTATATTGGGTTGAGGTCAGGAGACCTAGCTGGCCACTCCATCCTGGGAATTTCTTCACCTTCTAGGAAGGCAGTCACTGCCCTTGCACAGTGTTGTCACACATTGTTATCCAAAAACAGGAAGTCTGGCCATGTTGCACCTGCATATGGACAAACAATAGGTGCAAGGATCTCATCTCTGTATCTTAGTTCTGTGAGACTTCCATTTTGTATGATTACAAGGTCAGTATGGCCTGCAATTGAGATGCCTCCCCACACCATGACTGAGCCTTCACCAACGCGATCATGTTCGATGACATTCTGAGGCAAATTGCACTCACCAGGGCATCTCCAAAGTCTCCTGCATCTGTCAAGAAAGTCCACACAGTAGTGGGATTCGTCAGTGAAGACTACAGCTCTCCATTGTTGTGCAATCCACCTCCTGTTTTCTCTAGCCCACTGCAGTCATGCCTGCCTGTGCTGTTGACTTAAAGGAACATGAACAGCAGGACTTCTAGCCCTCAACTGAGCTTTGTGAAGGCATCTGCACACTGGATGGTCAAGTAGCAGTCTTGTTGTGGAATTGTTAGTCTTCTCCTTCTTCCACCATGTCTCCTATTGACTCTGCCAAACTGTCTGAACCTGTTCCAGGCCCTGGACATCACACTGCAGGATATGCCAAGAGCAGCAACAACCCTATGTTGAGTCATGCCTCCCTGCAGAATCTCAACAACCCTGTTAAGTTCTGCAGGAGAAAGATGATGCCTTTGACCTAAATGAGGCATTTTCTGCACTGCATAATCTCAATCAGACCAATTTTACCAAGCAATGATCAGTGATCTCAAATTAAGAACCTCAAAATTTCACTGTATGAACTTTCAATTTGGGGGTATGGTCAGAAAACAATGCCAGGATCCAGGCAGAAAGTTTGCACTTGGCAGACAGTATCCAGATAATGGACTTTCAAGCTGTCTTTTTTTAGAACTGACCTTTATTAACATTAGTGTACCTATTATGAAAAAACATGATCCCTAGCAAATGTTGACTACTGTACAATCCAAAAATGATATCACAAAACAAGAAAATAATTACAGTGTTTTCAAGCATATATATATATTTTTGGTTTGTCACTAACTAAGTGAAGAAAGGTCAGATTGTTATCATTCTAAGTTACACAAACAGCTAAAACAATGGCAATCAATAAATAGTAGAAATTACACAAAATGCCTAGATCATTTAATCAACGCCAAACTATGGGTACTACAAAATACTTTATTTCAGTTATTTAATGTAAAGAATAAATATAGGGAAATAGACAAAGTATTCAACTTATGACCATTAATTTTTTTCATTGAAAGATACGTTTTCAAAATTAAAAGGAGAATCCTGATTATCTTTAAGAAATTTTCTATCAAAGAGCACTTTTCTCTCTTAAAGAATAAAAAAACAATCATAAGCATGAAAAAATAATAAATACCAGTACATACCAAAGTAACCCTTTTAAGAGTTGCAAACTTTTCCTCTTGAGCCTCTATGGTTTTCTCAAAATCATCATGTTTACGAATTAACTCTTCCACCCCAGCTATGGAATCTCCAAACTGATTGTCACGTAGAACTGGTTCTCTGCTTTGCAGCCACAACTCAAGTTGCTCAGCATTAAGAACAAATTTCTGAAAAAGAGATACCAGTCACAATCATTTTCATCTTTTATTAATACCCTTCAGTAGCACAAATACATTTGAAATATGTGATAATCATTAAAATATGTTAGACATAGTCCAAAAAATGAACTTTTTTAAAGGCTTGAATAATTGTATGGCGAAATCCTAATTATGACAATCTGGAGAACACACAAAATACAGAGACAACACACTAGAAATCACCCCCCCCCCAGTGACACAGTGGTATGTCTGCAAACTTACAATGCTAGAAACCGGGTTTCGATATCCATTGTGGGCAAAGCACAGATAGCCTATTGTGTAGCTTTGTGCTTAACTTCAAACAAACAAACATTAGAAATCTTAAACTCCCAGTTAATTTTTTGTAATTTTTACATACTTTTACCATAGTTAACTTCGTCCTTTTGAATAACACTTGACTGTTCCCTTTAAGTTAATCCATTTAATTACTACACTGATCCTAATATATTACTAATACTTTGAATATAGCAATTGGCAATCAGAAGTGTAGAATTTATAATGAAAAAGTGATTTCATTTACCAGGTTAAGATATTCTTTGGGATGCATTCTTTAGATAATAATGAAAAAAAAAAACATTCCCACTGTGGAGGAATCCAAAAAAACTTTCTCACAATGAAAATACTTAAATCGCATAAATCTTAGTAAAAACTTACTAAATAGCATCAAGTTTTGGCTTTCCAAAAGTCACATAATTTAATACACACTATTATTTCTTACATTGTGAAACTTCAAAATTCTTATTCAGAGACTGCTTTCAAAAAAACACTCAAAATAGTTCATTTCATTTCAGATTTTCAAGTTGTTTTGTTGTTAATCAGAATGTTTCATTTTATACATATAATCACTTTCAACTTGATTGATCTTTAACATCTCGGCTGTTCCGTCCTCTAAACTAAACTAAAAGTATTAATAAGTAAATAAATAAAAAATCTTAAAGCCAGCCCTTATCATTCATATACTTATCAAACATTCTCTTAAACTCACTTAAATTTACTGCCTCCACAACATCTGAAGGCAACACATTCGGCCTAACACCCTGTTAGAAAAATAAAACTGTCTTAGCTGAAGATGACTCCTACCCTGCCAAAATTTATACTTGTGTTCCCTAATCCTACTATTCTCACTGTTAAGTATGAAACAAGATGATGC